ATATAAACCTGTATGGACATTTGACACAACACAACAAGTTGTTAGAAGGGGAATGAAATGAGAGGCAGGACTGAGATTTGGATATGCTTCGAGGTTCAGGCTATGGGAAGTCGTAAAATCAAAATTACAATTCGGAAGACAATTTGATCTTTTTTGTTTTTGTTTTTATTGGATTATGATTTGATATGTTAATTGGAGGTTTTTTATTGGGAAATTAATATACACTCTAACGAAAAAAAGAAGGGGAATAAAACAACATCAGCCAGTGTGGTGTAGTGGTTAAGAGTGGTGGACTCGTAATCTGGTGAACCGGGTTCGCTTCCCTGCTCCTCCACATGCAGCTGCTGGGTGACCTTGGGCCAGTCACACTTCTCTGAAGTCTCTTATCCTCACTCACCTCACAGAGTGTTTGTGGTGGGGAAGGAAGGGAAAGGAGATTGTGAGCAGCTTTGAGACTCCTTAGGGTAGTGATAAAGCGGGATATCAAATCCAAACTCCTCCTCTTCATTGTCTTCTTCTTCTTCTTCTTCTTCTTCTTCTTCTTCTTCTTCTTCTTCTTCTTCTTCTTCTCTTTGGACAGGCAGTTTCGCCACCCCCACCCCCTTTCCAGTGCATTAATATGGAGATAGTGCTTCCCTTTGGTTTAAGCACTAGATGCTGGGAGTAAACATTTATTCATTCCACTGGTCACCCGTCTTGGTTCCTACTTGAACAGTACATGGACACTTCTACATAACTGTTGTTATTGTGTTTGTGATGTGCGTGGTTCATTCTGTCATGAATGCTTTAGCTGAGTTTCTTGCATTCAGAGGGCTGGACTAGATGTCCCTTGGGGTCCCTTTCAACTCTATGATTCTATGATTCATTCAAAACGAATAAAATGTTTGTAAAAGAACAAAGATGATGTTTAAATCCAGTGCTTTTTTTCCTGGGGATACGCAGACCCCTAAACATTTTGTGAATCTTTGTCGGAATCTCCGCTCGGCCAAGCCGATAAGGCCTCATCTTCCTCCGAGCTGAGCCTTTGAAATCGCCTCCGACGTGTATAATGACCTGAGCCTTTGATAAGGCCTCAACCCCTTCTATCCAGCAAGGTTCCCAGCACAGGGAAGAGACGAGAGGTTTGGCTACATTGTAAAGAGTTTTATTTCTAAACTACGAGAACAGAAAAGACATCCTCTCTCTATGAAAGCAGAGAGCAGTTGAACAAAGGAACAAAGGAAACAGGAAACCACTAACGTCACATCCTGTCTCCCTTTTCCCGTGAGACTGCAAAGTCTCTGGAATGTAAACAGAGTCCTGGGACTCCGCACAGCTGCACAGTGAGAAACAGAAACTAACATCCTCCCCCTTTCTGTGAACACCACTGGGCAGCGTGTCAGTACATTATCAGTACAAACCCAGTTCTGTACATAGGTACAGTGTTGATCCTTCGGAACAACCTTAGACAATAAATCAGCAGGAATTTCATTACGTGGCATGTAGGACACCGTTACAAGTCCTTTCTGAACACATTCCCTAGCATGTTGCAGCTTCATGCACAACCAATCAAATAGACCCTGGTTGTACATATAGCAAACTCCAGATGTGCTTTTCCTGTCTGTAGTGTCACTTCCAAAACTTGCATCAGCAAATATCTCAAGACCACCAGACTTCTGATTGTTAAATGCCAGTCTGTAATGCATAGTGCCTTTCAAATAGTGTGCTATGCGTTTCAGAGCTTTCCAATCCTTAACAGTAGGATTGTTGACTTGTCTGCTTAGCAAGTTACAGCTAACTGCAATGTCAGGTCTTGAACATCTGGCAATGAAATTTAGTTTGCCTAGCACACTTCTGTACAGTGTAGTGTCAGAAAATGCTTCTTCCGTGTCATCTACCTGATAACCTGTTGTTAGCTTGGTTAACATATCAGCAATTTTCTGTGACTGGTATACTAGGAATTAAAGCTGCATCACATGACGGACACTTCAAGATGGCGGGGGCTGCTGAGCAGACTGCCAAAGGTTACACCCCGGGGAAAGCTGAAACAGTATCCCGGACCATGCAGGGATGTGTTCCTGAAACCGAAAGCTCCACAAAAGGGAGGCTTTTGGAAGAAGAGTGCACGAGGGGGGTGTTTCCTGTTCAGGGGGTGAAATCTCCAAAGCAGGAGGAGCAAGGGGAGTTGGCTGCCATGTCATCCCAACCATCACTGCAACCAGCAGGTGGCACTGCTGTGTTTGAAGCAGTGGAAAGTTTTTCCTGTGAGAAGTTTGGGCAGAGTCCAAATGCCAGGATGATCTGCACAGATGTGGTCACTAGCTGTTCCAGTACAAAGGCTAAGGCAAACCTTTGTGGAAGATGGAACTGGTTCACCATATTTACATCAAGAAGGGTCTGATCCACCAGTTGGGTGAAGACTCCTTGGAGGTGCAAAGTGTTGTGGAATCTGGCACACTTCCCTGTGTTCCATTGAGCTTTCTGGACTTGTAGCAGAGTGTGCACAGCGCTAGCCGCTTGGTGTGTAAGCTTGCAGAAGATAAAGAGTCCACATGCTGTTGTTCTAAACTAGCAGCTTTATTTACAGCAAAACAGTAAAAATAAACAAACCATCCGAGACAGCAGTCATCTTGCTTCCTTGCTTGGCAGCAAAAGCGAAAGTCAGACAGAACAAAGAAACAGCTTCTCCAGAAGTTGGAGACAGCTCCTCCCCAGAACAGGCAGGACGATGGGTTCCCGAGCTGTTAAGCCTATAAGCTCTGATTCCCCATCACACCCCCTCTCGTCCTGCACTGCTGGGGGCTCGTAAGTTTCACCACTTACCCCAAACACAGACCTTTACAGAACTCCCCATGATGCTGAAAGCTCAAAGGTTTCATGACCCCATCTGCCAGGTTCTTCTGGCTTGGACAGTACTGCAATCTCACCAAGCCTAACTGGATACTCTGACACACATTCTGGAAACGGATGTCTAGGTGTTTGGTTCTGGCCTTAAACTGCCCAGACTCTGCCAACTTCAGACAGGGTTGATTGTCCTCCCACACCGTGATGGGCAAAGAACAATACCTGCAGATTTCTTGAACCAAACAAACATAGAATTCCAATTCCCTGCAAAGCTCAGACAGCGCACTGAATTCAGCTTTAGTAAAGGAAAGCGCAATGAGCCTGGGATGCAGATGCTGAACTTAAGGAATCCCAACCTACACAGGATTCCCCGCCTCCAGAACCAGCTGAGCCAGGGTTGGGGCATGAGCCTGAAGGGTCCTCACCTGTGCTGGATCCTCAGGTGCAGGCACCAGCTGAGTCTGCTCTGGCTCCTGAGGTGATGGAGGACCCATTGCCTGCAGGTGCTCCACTCTCAGCCCCATCAGAGGAAGCTGGGGTTGCCTCTGGGTCCGGTAACCCTCCAGCCTTCCTGAGCTGCAGAGGCTCAGGGCAGAGAGGTGGAGGGAACTAAGTTCCTGCAGGAGGAGTGCTCTCCTCCAGGCCAGGAGAAGCGAGTCACCTGAGGATCAGGGCCGCCCTATGCCTTGGGACATATAAAAGCCAGCCAGCCCCAGTCCGAGTCCCAAGTTGCGGGAGCAACGTTGGTAGTTGTCAGTCCCTGCCTGAACCCTGCCCTGCACACAGCTTCAACTTTTATGGACCGCCTTCATATTGCTTCATCAACCATGGGCTGGACCTTGCCTCTTGATTAACCCCCGGGACCAGCACACCGGGACTTCCACCCAACCAAAGAGTCCCCAAACCTTACCACCATCCCAGATACGGACTTCCTGTTAGCCAGATTCGCCTAATTGCTATCTGTCCAGCACATCAGCTAGCCATCACCCTTAGCTGACAGTTTGAGACAGAAATCCTTGGTATCCTGCAGATAACGCAACACCCTCTTGATACCATTCCAGGCACTCACACTCGGGTTTGTAGCTTCCCTGCTGAGCAGATTGGTAGCAAAAGCAATGTCCGGTCTGCTCCACTGGGACAGATACAACAGCCTACCCAGAGCTGACTGAAAAATCTCAGCATTTTTGAACTCAGCGCATTCTACTTGCTGACTATGTTTCACATAACTTGTCTCCATGGGTGTCCTGACCCCTGCATTCAGACATCCTGAACTTCTCAAGCCGTGATGCTGACTTGAATAAAATATTGGTGGGGGGCCAGGTAAGGCCCTCCTTGCACAATCAATCACATGATACATGCACATCATTTGAATGGCAATGCCTATAATGGCAGTGATTTTTTTTAAAAAAAGTAATATTTTGAGCCCGTAGTTCAATTTCCAGCAGCTCCCCTTGCCCCAGAGAACACTTCTAGCATTCCATCTCCCCTACCTGTGTCCAATTGGTATCAGCCTTTCCAGGTTTTTTCCTGTCCATTGTGTTTGTCTTTCATTTGTTCTCCTATGTGTGTTGCCAGTAGAAGCCACAATTCTGTGGGTACTCTAGGTGGTGCAGAAAACACCTAGAAGCTCCTTAGAGGTTCAAGTGCCGATAAACTTCAGTTTTGTGACATGGGTCTCCAGCTGTTTTTGGACTACAACTCCCATCATCCCAAGCTAGCAGGACTAATGGGAAGGGATAACGGAAACTGTAGTCCAGGAGCTGCTGGGAGCCAAAGTTTGGGAAACCCTGCTTCAAAGCAACTTTTGCGTTTGGCCTGCAAATATGGGACCTGTCCACTTTTGTATTTTCTTGTATTTTGATTTTCTTGTGACCTTTGTACATTATTTATTTATTTATTTATTTATTGAGGGAAAATTCAAAGAGAAATTGTACGGCAAGTTGTGGAAGAATAAAAGGTTGTGTTTGGGGGGGAAAACCCTGGGGCGTGGCCCCCTCAAATATTTTATTGGGGGACAAAGACCTCATGGGCTTTAAGAGTTGGTGCCTAGTCCCTACACCCACAGGTCTCAGGAATGTTACAACATAAAAACACAAGATAAAAACACAAAACCGATGTTAATCAGCCAAAGGTGGAGATTTGTCTGGTTCCTAAAGATGTTTAATGGTTTTTCCGACCTTTGTATAGATTCTTTGATGGAAAGTGAGATTGGAGCTCCTCCAGAAGCTCTTTCCACATTCCACACACTAATATGTTTTCTCCCCTGTATGAATTATTTGATGGGAAGTGAGATTGGAGCTGTGAGTGAAGCTCTTTCCACATTCCACACACTGATATGGTTTCTCCCCAGTATGAATTCTTTGATGCGAAGTGAGATTGGAGCTTTCAGTGAAGCTCTTTCCACATTCCACACACTGATAGGGCTTCTCCCCAGTATGAATTCTTTGATGCGAAGTGAGAGAGAAGCTCTGACTGAAGCTCTTTCCACATTCCACACACTGATAGGGTTTCTCCCCTGAATGAATTCTCTGATGCTTAGTGAGATCCGAGTTCGTACTGAAGCTCTTTCCACATTCCACACACTGATAGGGTTTCTCCCCTGAATGAATTCTCTGATGCTTAGTGAGATCCGAGTTCGTACTGAAGCTCTTTCCACATTCCACACACTGATAGGGTTTCTCCCCTGTATGAATTCTCTGATGGAAAGTGAGACTGTAGCTGTGACTGAAGCCCTTTCCACATTCCACACACTGATAGGGTTTCTCCCCTGTATGAATTCTTTGATGGGAAGTGAGATCAGCGCTCTGACTGAAGCTCTTTCCACATTCCACACACTGATAGGGTTTCTCCCCTGTATGAATTCTTTGATGGGAAGTGAGATTGTGGCTGTGACTGAAGCTCTTTCCACATTCCACACACTGATAGGGTTTCTCCCCTGTATGAATTCTTCTATGGGAAGTGAGAGAGGAGCTATCAGTGAAGCTCTTTCCACATTCCACACACTGATAGGGTTTCTCCCCAGTATGAATTCTTTGATGGGAAGTGAGTTGGTCCTTCTTCCTGAAGCTCTTTCCACATTCCACACACTGATAGGGTTTCTCCCCTGTATGAATTCTTTGATGCAAAGTGAGATTGGAGCTCTGACTGAAGCTCTTTCCACATTCCACACACTGATAGGGTTTCTCCCCTGTATGAATTCTTTGATGGGAAGTGAGGTGGGAGCTATGAGTGAAGCTCTTTCCACATTCCACACACTGATAGGGTTTCTCCCCTGTATGAATTCTTTGATGCGAAGTGAGAGAGGAGCTTTCAGTGAAGCTCTTTCCACATTCCACACACTGATAGGGTTTCTCCCCAGTATGAATTCTTTGATGCGAAGTGAGATAGGAGCTCTTACTGAAGCTCTTTCCACATTCCACACACTGATAGGGTTTCTCCCCTGTATGAATTCTTTGATGGGAAGTGAGAGAGGAGCTTTCAGTGAAGCTCTTTCCACATTCCACACACTGATAGGGTTTCTCCTCAGTATGAATTCTTTGATGCGAAGTGAGAGTGGAGCTTTCAGTGAAGCTCTTTCCACATTCCACACACTGATAGGGTTTCTCCCCAGTATGAATTCTTTGATGGGAAGTGAGAGAGGAGCTCTTCCTGAAGCTCTTTCCACATTCCACACACTGATAGGGTTTCTCCCCTGTATGAATTCTTTGATGGGAAGTGAGAGAGGAGCTTGTACTGAAGCTATTTCCACATTCCACACACTGATAGGGTTTCTCCCCAGTATGAATTCTTTGATGGGAAGTGAGAGAGGAGCTCTGACTGAAGCTCTTTCCACATTCCACACACTGATAGGGTTTCTCCCCTGTATGAATTCTTTGATGCGAAGTGAGTTTGGAGCTATAAGTGAAGCTCTTTCCACATTCCACACACTGATAGGGTTTCTCCCCAGTATGAATTCTTTGATGGGAAGTGAGTTTGGAGCTCTGACTGAAGCTCTTTCCACATTCCGCAAACTGATATGGTTTCTCCCCTGTATGAATTCTCTGATGGGAAGTGAGATCGGTGCTCCTACTGAAGCTCTTTCCACATTCCACGCACTGATAGGGTTTCTCCCCTGTATGAATTCTCTGATGCCTAGTGAGAGAGGAGCCCTGAATGAAGCTCTTTCCACATTCCATGCACTGATAGGGTTTCTCCCCTGTATGAATTCTCTGATGCTTAGTGAGATCCGAGCTCGAACTGAAGCTCTTTCCACATTCCACACACTGATAGAGTTTCTTTCCAAGGATATTTTGTTGATGGGAAGTGGAATGGGAGCGCTGACTGCAGCTTTCTGCACACTCCAAATTTTCACGTGGCTTTTCCTCTCTGGGGATTTTATCGTGGTCACCTTTGTTCTTGATTTCATCATAATCTGCAATGGAGACAAAAAGGGATTAGAGCCTCAAGAACAAATGGAGAAGAAATTAAGGGAGTTCAGTGTGTGTTTCTTACCTTTGTTGTTTGTCAATAACCAACATATTTATTATCAGATTTTGTGGAGTTGTTGACTGCTGCTTTGTTTGCTATAGAGTAGTGGCCAAAATTGTGGAAGACTTTTGCAGAAAAGTGTATTTCAGAGGTTTGATGGCTCATAACACTGCTTCTTTTGGAGTAATATCATACAATTATGTATCAACAGAAATTGTTCATTTGCCCATGTTCTATCTATTGTTATAGCCAAATAACCAGAAAAAGGAAGCACAACTTGCTTAGGTTGACTCTGTGTCTTTTTGTGGTTGGTTTTTTTTGTGTTCTTGTAAAACATAATAAAATTATAGAAATGGCACAAAGAGTTGACTGGTCATCCAGAAAGCGATGTAAAATTGTACTGTTTAATGAACAATGCTACAGTTATGAAGAAACTGGTGAAAGATTAGGAAAAACTTAACCAGACTGGCCATTATATATTTTTGAAGAGGTATCAGGAGACTTAGTCACTATAAAATCAGACCGGTAAAGGCAGGGAAAGGTGCACAAAGGCAAGTGACGATGGACGAGTGGAGAGACTGTCCCTACATGACAGAAGAAAATCATCTGGGTGTATACAAGATGACATGGCGCAATTTAATGTGAAGTTGAGTGCAAGGACTGGTCAAAATGTCATAATTCTAAGGAATAAGCCATTGTCATCTCACAAGCAAAGGTTGAAAAGATTAAACCCATGTTAACTGGACAGCTGAACAATGGAACAGTGTTATTTGGAGCGATGAGACCCAAATCAGATAAGATTTACATCCACTTGCATTACACCGACCACGAAACACTCAGATATTGTGTTGATCTGGGGTTGTATGGCAGCAAAAGGTGTGGGCAAAATTTACATCATTAATGGGGATGTAAATGCCCTAAAATGCATAAATGAAAGACTTGCGCGCAAACTGAAGCGTTCCTCAGGTGATCTTTTCCCAGATGCTGAAGCACGTTGTCAGGGAACTGCCCTCGGTTCAGGAGGGAAAGAGGAAAAGCCGAATGCATTACAGAGAGCCTCCAGGGATCGTGGGAAGCAGCTCCTCTTCAACAGAGCAGAATAAACACGCCTCCAGTGGAGCGGCGCTGCAGGAGTCGGAAGAGGCAAGACAGTGCCAGGACAACTTGCCTGGGCACAGTGGGGAGGAGAGGGGTCCTCTGTTACCCACACCCTCCTTGCGCAGAAAGCATCCGCGCAGAGAGGGGAGGTGCAGACTGGGAGTCAAGAAGCTGCTTTGCTGGGGAAAGTTTAGGAACCGCCCACTCACGGATTCTGCCAACGACTGAGCCAGCCATGGGAGAGTGGCGCTCCGGATGGATAAGGTTTATTTTGGCAGCAAAAGCAAGGCTTCACAGCTAAGCAGGGAGATATTTGCCTGCTTGCTCTCGAGCAACCCCTTGGAAACATCACACACACACACACACACACACACATATATATATTCTATTTTCTATTTCAACAGGATTCCGCTCCATGTCGTGTTGCTGCTGTGTGCAAAAGGTGCTTTCAAGATAAAGATATTTCACTGCCGGAACGGCCTGGGAATAGCCCAAACTTTAACCCAATCAGAAATCTATGGAGCCGACTAAAGAAACTTGTTAGTCAGAAGCAACCCAGCAATAAAGTCCAATTAACAGAGGCAATAATTTAATCTTGGCTTCACTTTATTACAGCTGCAGTACTAAAAACTTGGTTCATATCATGGGAAGGCATTGTAAGGCCTTAATTAAAGCTAAAGGTTGCCAATGGTTAGGACTGCTGTTCTAATAAATACTCCTTCATAAAAGTTCTTTCATTACATTCATTATCCTTCATTGATATATAATTTTATGGTATTACTCCACACAAAAGTGGTGTTATGAGCCATCAAACCTCAGAAATACACTTTTCACAAAAGGTTTCCACAATTTTGGCTACTAGGAGAAGTTCACTTTAAAGTTAATGTTCTATTTATATGGGATCAGACTATTATTTATGTTTCATGTTTATATATGTGTTGGAATCTGCCCAGAGTGGCTTGGGCAACCCAGCCAAATGGGCAGGGTATAAATAAAAAATATTATTATTTGGATTTGTAACTGGCTTGGATTTGTAACTGGCTGACTGACCGAACCCAAAGAGTGCTTATCAATGGTTCCTCTTCATCCTGGAGAAGAGTGACTAGTGGGGTGCCACAGGGTTCTGTCTTGGGCCCGGTCTTATTCAACATCTTTATCAACGACTTGGATGATGGACTCAAGGGCATCCTGATCAAATTTGAAGATGACACCAAACTGGGAGGGGTGGCTAACACCCTAGAGGACAGGATCACACTTCAAAACGACCTTGACAGATTAGAGAACTGGGCCAAAACAAACAAGATGAATTTTAACAGGGAGAAATGTAAAGTATTGCACTTGGGCAAAAAAAAAATGAGAGGCACAAATACAAGATGGGTGACACCTGGCTTGAGAGCAGTACATGTGAAAAGGATCTAGGAGTCTTGGTTGACCACAAACTTGACATGAGCCAACAGTGCGACGCGGCAGCTAAAAAAGCCAATGCAATTCTGGGCTGCATCAATAGGAGTATAGCATCTAGATCAAGGGAAGTAATAATAGGCGAAGGGGATCGAGATACGGATATGCTCGTACCCCTTCCAATCTGCGCCCCATCCCGAGGGACGAGGGTAGGGTGAGCAAGGATTACTCACCTCCTTCACTGGTGTTGTGCAATGCCAGGTCTATAGGCAACAAAACCGCTACCCTGCGAGATTTCTTTACCTCGCAGGGGGTCGACCCGGCTTGTGTGACGGAGACCTGGGTGCGCAAAGGGGTAACTGTTACCTTACGAGAGATGGCGCCCCCGGGTTTCTCCGTCCTCCACCAGTCACGGACTGTGGGCCGGGGGGGAGGGGTGGCAGTATTAATCCGGGAAGATTGTTCTTTCAGGGCTCTACCATCGCCATCGATCCCCGGCATTGAATGTGTTGGCCTAGTGTGGGGCTCCGAGGAGAGCTTGGCTGTCTGGCTGGTGTACCGGCCACCTAGCGCACCAGCAGCCACCCTGTCAGGCCTGCTGGAGGCGGTGGCCGGCTGGGCCTTGGAGTTCCCTAACCTATTGGTATTGGGAGACTTCAACTTCCACGCTGATGCCACTCCCTCCTCACAGGCTCTGGACCTGGTGTCTTCCATGGCGACACTAGGGCTCTCCCAGTTTGTTTCGGGCCCCACACATCAAGCAGGCCACACGCTGGATTTGATCTTTGGCGCCGGTATAGATGTGATCATGTCTCCTTCGATGAAGGTGCCATGGTCTGATCACTACGCTCTGAAAGCCAGGATTGACTTTCCACCCCCACCCTGTTTAGGTGGCGAGCCGATTTGGGCTCGCCCGCGGAGGCTGATGGACCCCGATAGATTCCGTCAAGCCTTGCGGGACCTTGCTCCCCCTGGCGACTCATTGACTGAGCTTGTTGAGGGCTGGAATACCCAGCTCCTGGCAGCCATCGATGAGATCGCACCTAAGCGCCCTCTGCGACCCCGCAGAAACCGGGCTCCCTGGTTTACCGAGGAGCTTCGGAAAATGAAGCGGGACCTCAGACGGCTAGAGCGAGTATGGCGGGGTGCCCGTGACGGAGCCTCAAGAACATCTTATAGGGTTTTTATGAAAACCTATGAGATGGCAGTGAAGGCCGCTAAGAAGTCTTACTTCTCGGCCTCCATTGCATCCGCTAGCTCTCGCCCGGCGCAATTATTTAGTATAATTCGGTCTTTAACGTCCCTTGAAGGACAGCCAAATTTAAATAACAATCTGACACACAGCTGTGAGGCATTTGCGAGCTTTTTTGCGGAGAAGGTCCTGTTGCTCTGCCATGACCTCCCTGCCAATTTGGATACAATAAAGGAACTGGAGGCCCCTCGACTGTCCTCGGGTCCAGTATTGGACCACTTTGACCGGATATCTCCAGCCGATGTGGACAGATTCCTCCAAGCTGGAAAGCCCACCACCTGTCCTCTTGACCCGTGCCCGTCATGGCTGATTAGAGCGTGTCCAGACGAGGTGCGGGCCCCCCTGGGGGATATCATCAATTTGTCCCTTGGCACCGGGATATTCCCAGGGGAACTGAAGGAGGCGGTGGTGCGTCCGCTCTTAAAGAAAACATCATTAGATCCCTTAGATCTATCCAATTACCGCCCGGTCTCGAATCTTCCATTCCTGGGTAAGGTGATTGAGAGAGCGGTTGCTGAACAGCTTGGTAGGTTTCTGGATGAAACATCTGCTTTGGATCCATTCCAGTCCGGCTTCCGTGCTGGTCATGGGACCGAGACGGCTCTGGTCGCCCTAACAGATGATCTCCGCAGGCAGCTGGATCGAGGCGGGTCGGGGCTGCTGATTCTTCTAGATCTGTCAGCAGCCTTTGACATGGTCGATTACGAACTCCTGGACCACCGCCTTGCCGACGTGGGGATCCAGGGCACAGTCCTTCAATGGCTGCGCTCGTTTCTCTCTGATCGGGGACAGAGGGTGGCGCTTGGGGGGGAATTGTCATCGCGTCACTCCTTGGTGTGTGGAGTGCCTCAGGGTGCGATTCTCTCCCCGATGCTTTTTAACATCTTTATGCGCCCCCTCGCCCAGCTTGTCCGGAGTTTTGGGCTGGGCTGCCATCAGTATGCTGATGACACCCAACTCTATCTGTTGATGGATGGCCATCCTAACTCGGCCCCAGACACACTGACCAGATGTCTGGAAGCTGTGGCTGGATGGTTACGTGGGAGCCAGTTGAAGTTAAATCCTTCGAAGACAGAGGTCCTCTGGCTGGGGCGGGACGATATGGGATCGAGGGGGCAACTCCCATCTCTTGCGGGGGTGCAATTAGTGCCAGCACCGTCCGTTAAGAGTTTGGGTGTAATCTTCGATACCTCCCTCTCTATGGAGGCGCAGATTACAGCTATAACAAAGGCGGCATTTTTCCATCTCCGCCAAGCTAAGCAGTTGGCCCCTTATCTCTCTCGCCCTGACCTAGCCACTGTGATCCATGCGACGGTCACCTCCAGACTGGATTATTGTAACTCGCTCTACGTGGGGCTGCCCTTGAGACTGACCCAGAAACTCCAGCGGGTGCAGAATGCCGCAGCGAGACTCCTTACGGGGTCTTCGCTGCGGGATCACATTCATCCGGTGCTATACCAGCTGCACTGGCTCCCAGTGGAGTACAGGATCAGGTTTAAGGTGCTGCTTTTAACCTTTAAAGCCCTATACGGCCTAGGACCCTCGTACCTACGGGACCGCCTCTCCTGGTATGCCCCACAGAGAAACCTACGGTCTACAAATAATAACACCCTCAAGGTCCCAGGCCTCAGAGAGGTTAGGCTGGCCTCAACTAGAGCCAGGGCCTTCTCGGCTGCAGCTCCAACCTGGTGGAATGCTCTGTCACAAGAGACTAGGGCCCTGCGGGACTTGACATCTTTCCGCAGGGCCTGCAAGACAGAGTTGTTCCGCCAGGCCTTCGGTCAGGGCGCAGCCTGACTCCCTCCTCTGGCAACCTGCACAGACTTTTGTTTAATCGGTTGCCATCAATTTGATTTTAACTAATTTTATAATGAAATATTTTTAGAATGTGTTATTACTTGATTGTTTATTTGATTGTTGTTAGCCGCCCTGAGCCCGGCTCAGCTGGGGAGGGCGGGATATAAATAAAATTTATTATTATTATTATTATTATTATTATTATTATTATCACTGTATTCTGCTCTGGTCAGACCACACCTGGAGTACTGTGTCCAGTTCTGGGCACCACAATTCAAGAAGGACACTGACAAACTGGAACGTGTCCAGAGGAGGGCAACCAAAATGGTCCAAGGCCTGGAAACGATGCCTTATGAGGAACGGCTAAGGGAGCTGGGCATGTTTAGCCTGGAGAAGAGGAGGTTAAGGGGTGATATGATAGCCATGTTCAAATATATAAAAGGATGTCACATAGAGGAGGGAGAAAGGTTGTTTTCTGCTGCTCCAGAGAAGCGGACACAGAGCAATGGATCCAAACTACAAGAAAGAAGATTCCACCTAAACATTAGGAAGAATAGAGTTGGAAGAGACCACAAGGGCCATCGAGTCCAACCCCCTGCCAAGCAGGAAACACCATCAGAGCACTCCTGACATATGGTTATCAAGCCTCTGCTTAAAGACCTCCAAAGTAGGAGACTCCACCACACTCCTTGGCAGCAAATTCCACGGTCGAACAGCTCTTACTGTCAGGAAGTTCTTCCTAATGTTTTTGATCAACCCAAGACTGACAGGAGCAAAAACAAAAACAGAAAACCTGAAGCTCCACATTTCCTGGACTTGTAGCAGAGCGGCACAGTGAGTGCTGCTTGTGTGTGTGAGCTTGCAGAACTCAGAGTCCAATACACTGCTGTTCCTCTAAACTAGAAAGCTTTATTGTATGTTCAGCAAGATAAACCATCGGAAGATGCAGACGTTGCGTCTTCCATGTCTCAGCAGAAAACGAAAGTCAGAAAGAACGAAGAAACAGCTTTCCTGGGTGTTGAGAAAGCTCCTCCCCAGATGCAGGACACTCTGAGCTGTTAACCCTGTAAGCTCTAAAGCTCACGACTTATCTTTCCTAACAATTCTGAAGCTGACATTGAAGATGGCCTGGGCAGTTCAGAGCAGCCTGATCGTGGTAGAAAAAGGAATAATTTGAGGAAGATTGTTCAAAGAAAAAACTGTAAGTTACTGTTTATTGTGGGGGTGTTAGGTTCCCAGGTGTTATAGGGGGCACTGTTGAGCTCTGTGAAAATATATGAGGTTGGTTCCATAGAGGTATGTTTTGAATTTCCAGGCTGATATGATGATCCCACAGGGAGCCTTACCAAGAGAGGCCACGATCCCACGAGTCTCCTCCATGACGTCCTTATGCAGAGCTCTCTGGTCAGGATCCAACAATGCCCACTCCTCGTCCGTGAAACGAATGGTGACATCTTCCAAGCAGACTGGACCCTAAAAGAAAAAGGGAAATGTCCTCCTCTGAGACAGCAGAAATATGATCTGCTACACAATGCTCTGTTGTTTCCTTCCTGTAAATAATAATAATAATAATAATAATAATAATAATAATAATAATTTATTATTTATACCCCGCCCATCTGGCTGGGTTGCGGTGTTGCTTCAATAGGATTGCTAGCTGCACATTTTATTTATGGATGCTTATTTTATTCTGCCTTTTAATTATGGGTATCCGTCTTTGTGCAAATAGGTGGTACTCCACCTTGTGGTTTTCAAGTCACTCTGCCTACGCAAGCATTCCAGTTTCCCCGATGGAAGGATCCACTTTCTCCTCTCCTCATGAGTTGTTCTGGGAAGGTTCCCTCCCAATGCCCTAGGACCAAATTCAAGGGGTTCATGGGGCTTGAATAACTCAGGAAAGCTATGAGCTATGCGGTGCAGAGCCACTCAAGATGGACAGGTCATAGTGGAGAGTTTTGACCAAACGTGATCCACCTGGAGCAGGAACCGGCAAGCCACTCCAGTATCCCTGCCAAGAAAACTCCATGGACAAAGACAACAGGCATATAAAAGTTATGACGCTGGAAGATGAGCCCCTCAGGTCGGAAGGCGTCCAACATGCTACTGAGGAAGAGCGGAGGACAAGTACAAGTAGATTCAGAGCTGATGAAGCGGCTGGGCCAAAGCCGAAAGGACGCTCAGTTGCGGATATGCCTGGAAGCGAAAGGAAAGTCCAATGCTGTAAAGAAAAATATTGCATAGGAACCTGGAATGTAAGAACCATGAACCTTGGTAAGTTGGATGTGGTCAAAAATGAGATGGCAAGAATAAATATTGACATCCTGGGCATCAGTGAACTAAAATGGATGGGAATGGGCGAATTCAGTTCGGATGACCATCACATCTGCTACTGTGGGCAAGAATCCTGTAAAAGAAATGGAGTGGCCCTTAGAGTCAACAAAAGAGTGGCAAAAGCTGTACTAGGATGCAATCTCAAAAATGATAGAGTGATCTCGATACGAATCCAAGGCAGACCTTTTAACATCACAGTAATCCAAGTTTATGCACCAACTACTGGTGCTGAAGAAACTGAAATTGACCAGTTCTATGAAGACTTACAACATCATATAGAAGGGATACCAAAGAAGGATGTTCTTCTCATTATAGGGGATTGGAATGCTAAAGTAGGGAGTCAAGAGATAAAAGGAACAACTGGCAAGTTTGGCCTTGGAGTTCAAAACGAAGCAGGGCAAAGGCTAATAGAGTTCTGCCAAGAGAACAAGCTGGTCATCACAAACACTCTTTTCCAACAACACAAGAGACGACTCTACACATGGACATCACCAGATGGGCAGCATCGAAATCAGATTGATTATATTCTCTGCAGCCAAAGATGGAGAAGCTCTATACAGTCAGCAAAAACAAGACCTGGAGCTGACTGTGGCTCAGATCATCAGCTTCTTATAGCAAAATTCAAGCTTAAACTGAAGGAAGTAGGAAAAACCACTGGGCCGGTAAGATACAATCTAAATCAAATCCCAAATCCCTTATGAATACATAGTGGAAGTGAGGAACAGGTTTAAGGATTTAGATTTGGTGGATAGAGTGCCTGAAGAACTATGGATGGAGGCTCGTAACATTATACAAGAGGCAGCAACTAAAACCATCCCAATGAAAAGGAAATGCAAGAAAGCAAAGTGGCTGTCCAACGAGGCCTTACAAATAGCGGGGGAGAGAAGGCAAGCAAAATGCGAGGGAGATAGTGAAAGATACAGGAAACTGAATGCAGATTTCCAAAGAATAGCAAGGAGAAACAAGAAGGCCTTCTTAAACGAGCAATGCAAAGAAATAGAGGAAAACAATAGAATGGGAAAAACCAGAGATCTGTTCAAGAAAATTGGAGATATGAAAGGAACATTTTGTACAATGATTTCCATAATAAAAGACAAAAGTGGAAAGGACCTATCAGAAGCAGAAGACATCAAGAAGAGGTGGCAAGAATACACAGAGGAACTATACCAGAAAGAAATGGATGTCTCGTATACCCCAGGTAGTGTGGTTGCTGACCTTGAGCCAGACATCCTGGAGAGTGAAGTCAAATGGGCCTTAGAAAGCACTGCTAATAACAAGGCCAGTGGAAGTGATGATATTCCAGCTGAACTATTTAAATTTTTAAAAGATGTTGCTGTTAAGGTGCTACGCTCCATATGCCAGCAAATTTGGAAAACTCAGCAGTGGCCAGAGGATTGGAGAAGATCAGTCTACATCCCAATCCCAAAGAAGGGCAGTGCCAAAGAATGCTCCAACTACCGCACAATTGCACTCATTTCACACGTTAGCAAGATTATGCTTAAAATTCTACAAGGCAGGCTCAAGCAGTATGTGGACCGAGAACTCCCAGAAGTGCAAGCTGGATTTAGAAGAGGCAGAGGAACCAGAGACCAAATTGCAAACATGCGCTGGATTATGGAGAAAGCTAGAGAGTTCCAGAAAGACATCTACTTCTGCTTCATTGACTATGCAAAAGCCTTTGACTGTGTCGACCACAGCAAACTATGGCAAGTTCTTAAAGAAATGGGAGTGCCTGATCACCTCATCTACAGTTAGAACTGGATATGGAACAACTGATTGGTTCAAAATTGGGAAAGGAGTACAACAAGGCTGTATATTGTCCCCCTGCTTATTTAACTTATATGCAGAATTCATCATGCGAAAGGCTGGGCTGGATAAATCCCAAGCCGGAATTAAGATCGCCGGAAGAAATATCAACAACCTCAGATATACAGATGACACAACCTTGATGGCAGAAAGTGAGGAGGAATTAAAGAACCTTTTAATGAGGGTGAAAGAGGAGAGCACAAAATATGGTCTGAAGGTCAACATCAGAAAAGCGAATATCATGGCCACTGGTCCCATCACCTCCTGGCAAATAGAAGGGGAAGAAATGGAAGCAGTAAGAGCTTTTACTTTCTTGGGTTCCATGATCACTGCAGATGGTGACAGCAGTCACAAAATTAAAAGACGCCTGCTCCCTGGGAGAAAGGTGATGGCATACCTAGACAGCATCTTAAAAAGCAGAGACATCACCTTACCAACAAAGGTCCGTAGAGTTAAAGCCACGGTCTTCCCAGTAGTGATGTATGGAAGTGAGAGCCGGAACATAAAGAAGGCTGATCGCCAAAGAATTGATGCTTTTGAGTTATGGTGCTGGAGGAGACTCTTGAGAGTCCCATGGACTGCAAGAAGATCAAACGTATCCATTCTTAAGGAAATCAGCCCTGAGTGCTCACCGGAAGGACAGATTGTGAAGTTGAGGCTCCAATACTTTGGCCACCTCATGAGAAGAGAAGACTCCCTGGAAAAGACCCCGTTGTTGGGAAAGATGGAGGGTACAAGGAGAAGGGGACGACAGAGAATGAGATGGTTGGACAGTGTTCTCGAAGTTACAAACATGAGTTTGACCAAACTGTGGGAGGCAGTGGAAGACAGGAGTGCCTGGCGTGCTCTGGTCCATGGGGTCACGAAGAGTCGGACACGACTAAACAACTAAACAACAACAACAATTTTGGATGGCCATCTGTCTTGGATGATCTATCAACGCAGGGGGTTGGACTTGATGACCCTTGGGGTCCCTTTCAACTCTAGGATTCCATGAAAACTGCAACTACAGATGAATCCTACTGGCAAAATTCAGAAGGCTGGTGTCAGAGTTCTATGGGTAGGAAATCCCACAGTACACAGCTGGAGTTCACACTTTCTTAGCAAGAACACGGTATTCACAGACTTGGCTGAGTTTCGGGCCTCATGAGAACAGCAGCTCATTCCCAGAGGGTCTGTCAGTTTGCATAATCTAGCAGAGATTCCTGCAACGCAGGGGGTTTCCTGGCTCTGAGAGACAAGCAGGGAGGGTGGCTTCTGGCAGAAGGAGAGGGAGCCACCGATGGCTCCTCCTTCTCCTGACTCACCTCTGCCTCTCGACTTTCCTCTCCCTCTTGCCTCCTCCTCTTCTGCCTCTGATTCTGCACTGCATTCTGCCACAGAGTCTCCCAGCTCACTAAGCCCTGCTACCCCTTCAGCTTCTGACACCTCCTCTTCCCAGGCTTCTCCCTCTGACCGCCCATCCTTCTTCCACCTCCACTCCTTGGGCTCTGAGCCATCTTCCCTTCCTGGTTCCCCAGCTGCTTCCTCCCACCATTCCTCTGTGCCCAACCAGTCCATGACATTGCTCCATCCCTCGGCCTCTGTCCCCACAAGGCAGCTTCCCCTGACCTGATCTGGTCCCACAGCCGCTGCTTCCCTTCTGCCCCCATGAAAAGGCGGATCAGGAGGTCTTGCCGGCATCCTTCTGCCACCTGCAAGAGAAAAAAGGTAAGCAAGACGCCAGGAGTGCCTGCTTCTTTCACAGGGGAAACAGGGCATCTCTAACTACAGATGGGCCTTTCAGAAAGCCTTACTTGCTGAGAGCATTTGGAGGTTTGTGCCCATTTCATATGTTAGATGTGCAAATACCCATCTCCCCTTCTCTGGACCCTTGCTCCCAACTGTCTCCCCGCAAAACAAGATGAAAAGAATATCAGTGTTTGTATTAAAAAAAAAGGTTCTGTTGGCATAAAAGAGTCCATGAGAAGAATATCCTTGCAGAGTACTGGTGTAGCTGCTCTGTGAGTCGCCTACTGTGGTCCTCTAGGAGTTCAGACTGTTCCAGTAGCCGATGCTGAGTGCTTTTCTGATCCTCAGATCCTAGCAGCCCCAGCGTCACTGCAGACAGTTACAGCTTGCCACCAACTGCTCCAACGCACAGCCACGGGCTCCATACACCACCAGGATTCACCAGCTCCCTGCTCAGATGCTGTCAGTCGTTTTGCACTCTGCACAAGCTCAGAAACACTGGGCCCATAACCTGTCAGTGTTTGTAAAAAAAATGTTCTGACCTCCCTTTGTTGCCTCAGCCTGGTCCTCGGACCCTTGTTGGCATAAAAGAGTCCACAAGAAGAGTATCCTTGCAGGGTGCTTTCCGCTTTTATTCTTAAAAGCCTTTCTGCAAAAGTGACTGACCAACTGTACACAAAAGCGACTGACCAACTGTACACACATCAACACTACCAGCTTTCACCAACCAACCAACCCAAACCAAACTAACATTTCTCACTCTATATATACAACCTGGTGCAGGCCGCTGACTCATGCTGACCCAGCTTTTTAAGCATTAAAGAAACAGCTGCCAATTTTTAGCCGTGACAAAGAACCCTCAGATGAGCTGGAAAACCAACAGAACAAGACCAAATGGAGAAGAGCCACCTTCCTCCTTACCCAGTGGCCGCTCTCTGGTGTCCAACGGAGGCCTCTCTGCCTCACAGGAATCCAGGTCCATTTCTGCAAAGAGATCCTTTCCCTGAAAAAGAAACAAGGATTCAAAACAGAGAATGGGGAGAAATATTAGTAGAAGAATGACAAAGACAAAAACATTCAGGGTGTTAGATCTCATTCCATGGATGCCTTCCCAGAAAACGGATGGGCCAACAGTAGAGCATTATGGGATGTTCTCCATCCTGTTTGGAGCCCCTTGGGAGTATCCAGAGGAAAGTCTCTCTCACCTGCTTTCTCTCCTCTGCCTGACTCAGGAGGAAACCTTCGACCAGGGCCACCGCCTGGGAACTGGTCTCCGCTCCGCATTCCCTCACCCAGCTCTCCATCTCCGGTGGAAGGACAGCCAGGAACTGCTCCAAGATCACCAGGTCCAGCATCTCAGCTTTCGTGTGCCTTTCTGGCTTCAGCCACTGACGGCCAAGGTGGTAGAGTCGGCTGCAAACCTCTCGGGGTCCTTTGGCCTCCTGGCAGCAGAACTGCCTCAACTGCTGGCTCTGCATCTTTGAGCAGAGGGTGTCCTCCTCACCCAGGATCTTCTGCACAAAATTTTCCCAGAACCCCCCACTGCTCCCAGTTTGGATGTCATGGCCTCTTCCTGCTTCAGGGCCAGCTGAGTCTTGCTCATCCATCTGTGCTCTCAGGAAGCCTCTGAGAGATCGGAAGGAACCCTTTGGTCTTCTGCCAAGTTCTGTCTGTCTGAATGAGAAGCTCTAGCAAATCCTACAAAGCAAATACATTGCTCTGTTACAGAATTTGTAGGTCAGTAGAAGAAAAAGATTCCCTGAGCAAGCATGGATGAGTCTTCCTGGGAACTAGGGCTGGACTGCACCGCATTCCAGTCCATGAGCTATCTTTTTTGGGGGGAAAGAAGAGTAGAAGAAATATGTCTCTAGCCTTCTAGCAATGCAAAATGTGAAGGCAACTGAAGGGATTAATGTGAGGTGAATCAGCCTGGTTTCTGCTGCCTTCCAGTCAATGCATGAAGTCAGAACTGACTGATAAGGGAGTCATTTGTATCTTGTGGAAAATGGATGCTTGGCTCTAGTGGGGGTCCTCACCCGGGGGTCCTCAGGAGTTGCTTCCCCCCACCCCCACTCCCCTGCTGCTGTCTCCTTTTCTTGCACTTGGACTCCCTGTCGCTCTCCCGACAGACTCCTGGGGTGGGGTCCCTTTTTCTTTGCTCTGAGGGCCAGGAATATATCTGGCCAACCCCCTCAGGGCCAAGTGGACAGGGTCAAAAGACACCTCCCTTGAAATATAGGCGGGTTATTTATTATTATTATTCAATTAGATAGCTTAACACACACACACAGCCACTGATGCCAAGGTCCCTGGAGGCTCAGTGAGTAGCAGCGCCCATTTCCGGCTGCTTTGCCAGCAACAATCCCTTTGGGAGAGAGAGGATGTGGTCCTGGGATGCCCTGCTCTGGCTGCGAGGGGATTGCTGCAGTGGCCTCCGTGGGGAGCTGCCCTGGGAGACACTGGGAAACTGGTCCCCAATGCAGCAGCCAGACTCTGGGCTGGGATCCCTCTCTTTATCCCTGGCCTTCCTCTCCCACCTTTTTTTGGGGGGGGGGCTAGTCCACCTCCTCGTCCAGCTTTGGAAAACCATTTGCAGATGTTTCCTCTGTTGTGCAATGAGGCTGAGCGACGTCACACAGAGTTAAAGTCCCAGGGACTCCTTTGTGTAAAGAAGGGAGATCTTTTCTGAAAGGGGGGGCGGAGGGTCAAATGAGTTTGGGATCCTCTGATCTGCAGGAAGGAGAGCGTGGCAGACCTGGCCCCTCCCTGGCAGGACCCTCTCCTCCTCCCTGACTTGGGGTCCCCCCCCCCTTGCAGGAGCAGATCAGGCCCCCCAGACCCCCTCCCCTGCTGCAGCCCTGGGACCCCCACTAGATCCCAGAGAGAGAGGAGACTCACCAGATCCCAGAGAGAGAGAGGAGACTCACCAGATCCCAGAGAGAGAGGAGACTCACCAGATCCCAGAGAGAGAGGAGACTCACCAGATCCCAGAGAGAGAGGAGACTCACCAGATCCCAGAAGGGGAGAGCGATGCAGCCCTTGCAGGAGAGACACCCAAGCAGGAAAGGACTGGGGAGGGAGGGGCCTTGGCTCTGGAGGACCTGCCCCCCCTTGCTTCCTCTCTAGGAAGGCAGCTCAGTTCCCTTTAACCCTTGCCAAGCCGAGTCCCTCCAGCTCAGCCCTCTCTCGCTTGGCAGAACCTCAGATTCTTATTATTTCTTATGGATTTCGGGGGGGCAGCTGCCCCCCTGGCTACGCCAATGCCCGGATATCCTTTTGGGGGGTGAGGCTCTTGGCTGGACTCTGAGCATCTCCCTCCCTTCATCAAGAGATCTCAGAGACCTTTAAAACACAGAACACGTGAGACGCAGACTGATGATCCACGTGTTACAGACCAAACGTCTGTACCCCTGCCCAAGTGGGTCATAAACAATCAATACATATGATAAGAAGGGTGGCCAGGAGGACAACAATCATTATCACCTTTATGTGAGACCTGTTTCCTGGCCCTAAAATTAACAGCCTAAGATTAACATATCAGAAAAGCTACAGCAAAGAAACTGCCCACTGTCTTTGATGCTTTCATTGCTGACACAGATGGCTTACTCTATATTTGTTATAAATCCTCATAGCAATCCCACCTGATCACTACAGGAAGTGTTGTCTTTTGGCTTGAAGAGCGAAGCTGAGGTTGGCGGAGGAAGGCAGACTTGGGTCAATTCTCTTTCGTTACATAGACGTTTACTTCAAGGGTGGGAGAAGGAAGCATAGTCCTATTTCTGTGAGTGGAGCAGGGGTCTTTCCACTCATGTGGTTTACATGCTCTGAAAGTTGGGATCTGTTTTGAGATTTAAATTTTATTTTTATTTTTTTTAATAATATTTTTTATTGCTTTTTTCCAGGTACAAATATATAGTCAGATAAATAACAGAAGCAACAGAACAGAAAAAGAAAAAATAAAATAAAAAAATTCATCTTTCCAGAACATTTTTTCATATCCAACCGGACTTCCCCACATCTCCCTCACCCTGCATTCTTTGCAATAAAGATATCAGCAAATTGTTACCTTGTTTCATGCGTTTTTTGTGCTTTCAAATAATTATACTTTAAGTTTAAGGTACTTATTGTCAAATTACTTTTATCCTGAAATAGACATAAAAATTACTTTAAACTTTGGTCCTTTCGTAATTATAACTTAGTTTCCCAATTCATCAAATTTTATTGCTGAAGCTAGACTTTCCAAGCCATGCAAGTTCTTAACATTCGTATAGCTTATGTTGTTTTTGTAGATAGTCCTTAAATTTTTTTCCAGTCCTCCATTGTTTCTTCTCCCAGGTCTCGGATTCTGCCAGTCATTTCAGCCAGTTCCATATAGTCCATCAATTGCATCTGCCACTCTTCCAGCGTGGGTAAATCTTGTGTCTTCCTTGTGGAAGACATGAGATTGAAATTTTAAAAGGGTGGAGTGGAACCGGATATTGACCATCTTGTTAGCCTGGGGAGCCACATTCTGGTTGAAAGAGACCAGGATTAGCCCCCAAGGCTTGGGATGTCCCTCCTTCCCTGCAGTAGGACTTGGAATCCAGGAGAAAACTCTTGAAATAGCCTTGTCAGGTGCTCAGGGACGGACTCACCTGTCCCCATGTCCTTCTCTTTGCAGATGTGCTGCGGTTGCACATCCCTCCCCCAGAGGTGAGGAGGACTCTCCTGTGTGAGTGTCTGGGGGCCCTGCTCCTTCCTGCCACTTACCACCTGGCCCAGGGCAGGGCCTGACGGGCCTCACTCGGACAGTTGCTGTTACTGCTGGAGGGGTGCAGAGTGCTTTTAAAATGTTTTAAAAATTTTCTCTTGACTTTTTTGTATGTTGGGGGGGTGGGGATGGAATGGATGTTTATTGGGCCTGGGAATTTGTTTGATTTTATGT